CCGCCTAATCACACCCCGGCCTTGAGAACACAGAGAACAGGAGGCCAAAGGGAGGCATCATACATTGGACGGGGACGAGAGGATTTGAAAGCGGTTTGCTGTGACCCTGTCGACCGATGTGAGCTCAGCAGCGAGTCCCGAGGCGCCGGCAAAGATGAGCGACGCGTCAGTCCAATCCAAGCAGTTGAGCGCATGAGTGGAGAAGCCCAAACTGCATTGCAAGTCCCGCGGGCGCCCTCTCCCCTTCAACCATAACGATACAGAATCATCGCGACGCACGCTGGGGAATGGTTCGCCGATTGGCAGCATGATTACTTCAATGCTTCTCACTCACTCGCGACGGTGGCCTACCAAGAGCTGCATCTAAGTCGCGAAGACCGGGCGCGCAAGCCGCGATTGGATACCAACGCAACAGGAACAGCAACGCGATACCAGGGACATACATAAAGTAAGCAAAGACGAATCTCGCGGCCAGTCAGGCACCTGCGCGGGAGGTCACCGAGGAGTTCGGCAGAAAATGGCGGATGCAACATTTGGAATGATGACCAGAGTTGGGGAGATGTAGATGCGGGCGCCGTCGGCAGGGGAGACGTCGCAGGGCGCGCGACATGCCGCGTGCGCGGCTGGCCGGGGCGCGCGGCTCGAGATTGCAGAAACAATGGCAGAGGCAACGGTCGCGCCAAGGGCAACGGACGCCCAAGTGGGCCACGTGGGCACCCCGGGGGGTACGATGGAGGACGAGAGGTCAGGCAGGCCAACGCGCGTGATACGTGGTCAACCAAGCGGCAAAGGATACGCGCCCATGAGCGAGCGAGAATGCGATCACAAGCGTGGCCTGAAAGGACACGGCGCCGCCAAGTGCGCCGAGAGCGCAGCAGACGACATCGGGCGAACGCGCGGGCGTCAGATCGGATATAACTGGGAAGCCGCGGCCAGACATGGGCCCCGGATGCTGCGAAGGAAGCATGGGCCAACCAGTTCCGCCTGAGTGCCCTTGCGCAGACCCGTCGGCAATCACCATGAAGATGCCGTGGTTAGCAAGGCAGAGGGTGAAGTGCGACGGCTTGGGGCGTCAGCGATGTTGCCGCTGCGAAGAGCTGGGGTGCGAAGTGGGGTTGGTCGGGTTAAGTATCCGATCAGGCGACGTGAACTCCGCCTCCGGACAGAAGCCCCGAGTCGCGCGTGGAAACGGTGCGCCGTGCATTCAGGGTATCTGGCGCCGTTGGGCCACGCGCCGTTGCCGCCCACTTCCCGCTGCAAGGGACATGGTCGAAGAAGGTGATAATATTGCGATCGACAGAGGGCGGCGGCAGGGCGGGCCGTTGCTTTGAGCGCGAGGCCCCAGGCGCGATCGCCGCGATAAGCGAGCACAACAAGACCTCCCAGCTCACCATCCAGATCCTCAGCAGTTCAACCGAGAAGCAAGCGCAACGGGCGGGCGAGGGGGCCCGGGGGATTTTCCGAGGCAGGGGCTCCCTTGGGAGAGCCTTTCCTATTGAGCCCCGTACTCTGTGTCCCTTAATAGTTCTGGCCCCCCAGACTACAGGCCCCCCCGAGACCACAGGCGCCCCCTCTCCGGACTGCAGGCGCCCCTCGCTTGGATTTCGGGCGCCCCCCCGCGGGCTGCAGACGACCCCCCCGCGACTGCAGGCCCGCCCCCCGCTCCCGGGCCACCTCCCCAGACTGCTCCCGCGCGCGCGGAAGCCCGCGCGCGTTGACGCCTGGGCCCGCCCCCCCCCCGGACTGCCGGCGCCCTCCTTCCCCCGACCGCAGGCGCTCCGCCCTGGACAATGGGCACCCCTCATTCTGGAGTACAGGCCCCCCCCCCTCCCCGGGGCAACGGGCGCCCTCGGAATTATTGCGGGGCGAGCGCGCCCCGCGGGCAAAGAGATCAACGTCGCGGGAGGGAAAAGTGAACGTCCACGCGGGTGCCGAAGCGGCAGGCGCCGTCGCGCAATTGAATTGGCATGGGGTCGGGTTTTGACGCAGGCGTGAACACTTACTTATTCGGTTAAAGCCATGGAGAATCGGACTTCCTCCATCGCGGGGTGCAGTTTCGCGGACTCGCACGTCCAGGTTTATTCAATGCGTCGATGGCATTGGCCCAGTTGCGTCGCCGCCGAATGCCCACCTTGACCAGCGCGTCGACGATGGCACGCCCCTTGCGCGGGCGCCGTCAGCGAGGAAGCCTCGCGTTTTAAGGCAGTTTCGGCCAGTTTCCATCGCACCATTGCTTCTGGCGCGGAGCGCGGCATTTCGCGCGGCAAGGCCGCTTCCGTCACCTCCAGCAAGGGGGCGGAGTCGCAAGTGTTTTAATTTTTGGGCCCGCCTGCAGGGGGGGTCCACCGACGGACGGCGCGATCAACCTCGGGATCGACGACGCGCCGGGCTGGCCCGGGAGGGCGGCCGAGCGCAGCGAGAAGTTCGTCTGAGGGCTGAGGCCACGAGAACAAACATGGTCGGGCCCTCATGCAGCCTAGGACGTCAGCGGGTGGGCGCGGGTCACTGGGGCCTCCCTGGGGCCCTGAGCGGAGCCGAAGCGCGCGGCGCCCCGGTTTTCGAGCGCGGGGAAATCCGCGGGGAAGCTGGAAAATCGATGCGCCCTGGGGCCCTCGGTCGACCCCTCGCGCGAAGAGCTCGCGCGCGTCGGGGCAGCGGCCCCGACTGTTCAGCGTAGCGAGGTAGCACGGGCGGCCCATGCGAGCGTCTGCCCTCGCCCTTTGCCCCCGCCCACCCCTCTCCCCGGCGCGCCCAGGTGCAGGTTTTCGCAAAGGCCCTGAGACCCATTTGGCGGCGGGCGCGGCGGGGGGGGGGGGCGTTGTCGGCCGCAAGATTGTCGATCAACGGGGCAGGCTGGAAGACGTAGAACTCCGTTGCGCCCGCGTCGGGCCCCGGAGTGGAGACCCAGCTGGCGACGGCCCCCTTGCCGCGCGCAATCAACTTCTTCGCGCCGCTGCTTAAGGGCAGCTAGAGAGGGGGCCGCGCGCCAGGAGAGCGCAGCAAAGCGATCGCCTGTGCGATGATGTTGTTCGGGATCGGCTTCGATCGAAGCGTTTGTTGGCTAAGGGGGAGGGCGCCCGATGGAGCCTCGATGCGCTGCGCGCGCGCGCAGTCGCGATTTGCTCGCCGGCAACACCCCGGCTGACGACCGTCGCGAGATGCGCGGGCAGCTCGGCGGAGCCGCGTTTCGCTGGATTCGAAAGCGCCTTGGTTTCGATTCGACCCTGTCCAAGTTAGTCGATCGAGGTATCTGCGAAGCAGCTGGCGCTGCCGTCTGCCGTGGCCTCTTTCCCCGCCGTGGGGGCGCGCCCCCCAGAGCGTGAAGCCCCCCCTTCCAGGCTCGGAAGGTCTGGCGCGGGCCCCCCCCCGCCCCCCTGGCAGCGGCGATTTCAGCGGACCAATGTTTACAGATGGCAGTTCACTTAGGAGGCATTCGACTACAGGTCTCTCTCAGGCGGGTTACGGCTGGCCTTCTCCGACGATGGTGGCCAGTGTGGAGATGTGATCTGTCCGCGCGCTTTTCCATCTATCCTGCAAGCGCCGCAATGCAGTGAGTTCGCGGCTTTTGCATGGACGTGCCATGAGATTTTAGGACAGTCTGTGGTTTGCAGTGATTATGAACATGCCGCCCCTTCGCTGGGCTCCGCATCTTGCACACTATCGAGTCCTTTTTCCCCGTTGTTTCCGTAGCGAGGCGAGGGCCCGCCTGGGCCCTGAAGCATGTGGCATCGAGCTCGAGGAAAGATGGCGCAGGCTAGACAACCAGGCCGCCAATTTGGTGGCCAAGGCTGGTGCTGACTGTCACCCTCGGGCCGCCGAAGAAGAGAAACAGGTTTTGAGTTCCGGTGTTCGCATTGCTGATGCTGTTTGTAAGTTCGCGTTGGATATCCTACACCAGTGGCCTCTGTCGGACCTCTCTGAATGCCCCCTGGTCGCCCCTGACAAGCCCCAATCGGGCTTTGGTGGGCCCTGTTGAACAAGCTGCGTTCGGCAGCGACCATTGCTGTAAATTGCAGCCTTCCCATGAGTATGTCTACAGTTTGTGCCGCGTCGTTGTTAATGAGCAGGATATCCATACTGCGTGCACGTTCGCTTGCTCGCCACCGCCAGGGGGCCTTGCTGGCGAAGCGAGGGGCCCAGCTGGAGATGAGGTTCGGGCGGCGGACGGGGAGTTGGGTTGAGGGAAAGGACTCTGCACGGTTCCCGCGCGCTTCTGTTCTGGCCGCGTCGTTGGTTTTTATTGTGCAGCGCGCGCGGTCGCACGGCCGCGGGCGACCCTCCATGCTTGGCGGACGCATGCGAGCCCGCCATCAACAAAGGCAGAGGGAATGTCGCCCGCATCGCCCACCGCGTCTTCCCCAGCTGCGCGGGCCCGCCGTTCGCACGCTGTCGCGAGTGGGGTCCCAGGTGGTTTGTGGCCTGAGGACATCTCCTCGCGGCCAGGCGAGCCTCCCAACGAGCAGGCCTCTTCGAGGCCTGTGTTGTCCATGGTGGTCGCTGCGCTTCGCCTCGAAGGGGGCCAGCAGCTGCTGGCCTCGAGCCCAAGCTGACTCTGGCGATTCTGATCCACACTGCGCGAGAGTGGCTGCCCAGCCGAACCTCACTTGGAGGTCAGCACGGCTAGGCAGCCTTTCGGGCGCAGGTCTTTCGTCAACCCTGACGGCGTGGCCCCTCGCGGGTTTTATCACGGGGTCCTGTCAAACAGACCATCCTCTTCCTCCTCCTCCTCCTCCTCATCATCATCATCGTCATCGTCATCGTCATCATCATCATCATCATCATCATCATCAGCATCATCATCATCATCCTCATCCTCATCCTCATCCTCATCCTCATCCTCATCCTTATCATTATTCCCCTCCTCCTCCTCCTCCTCCTCCTCCTCCTCCTCCTCGTCGTCCCTTCCTCCCCTTTCTCCTCCTTTTCCTCCTCCTCCTCCTCCTCCTCGTCCTCCTCCTCCTCCTCCCACTTCCTCCTCCTCCTTTTTGGCCCCTCCTCCCAGCCCCAGGCCGACAGCAGCCTCCCCACCCCCCGCGCGCAACGCACCGCCACCGTGCCGCCGACCCCCCCCCCCGATGTCGGCCGCGATGTCCCCCGGCCGGGGGTGGCGCTCAGAGCACGTCGTCGCCGTCGTCGCCGTCGTCGTCGTCGCCGTCGTCGCCGTCGTCGTCGTCGTCGTCGTCGTCGTCGTCGTCGTCGTCGTCGTCGTCGCCTTCGCCGTCGTCGTCGCCGTCGTCGTCGTCGGTGTGGTCGTTGTCGTGGTCGTCATCGTTGTGGTTGTCATCGTTGTCCTCAACATCGTCGCGGTCGTCGCCGTCGCCGTCGTCGTCGTCGTTATCGGTGTGGTCGGCGTCGTGGTTGTCGTCGTCGTCGTCGCGGTCGTGGTCGCCGCTGTGGTCGTCGTGGTCATTGTCATGGCCATGGTGGTCCTAGTCACTAGTCGTTGTTGTCGTCGTGGTCGTGTTTGCCGCCGTCGTCGCCGCCGCCACTGCTGATCGTCGTCGTCGTCGTCGTCGTCGTCGTCGTCGGCGGTGGGCGCCAGCTATGTACAATGACATACTTGCGTGGTGCGCTCTAGAAGTGGCCTCGCCTGCGGCGCATCCTCGGCACCGGCGGAAGGCGGCGGCCGGCGCAAGTAGAACGGCGCCGGCCCGCTGGTGGAAGGCGGCGGAAGGGAGCGTGAGGCGCCAAGATGTGTTGGCCCAGGGTTTCCGGAGCGGGTCTCTCCGATCTTGGTCAGGCCGAGCGTGGGCTCAGGATCGGAGGAGCCAGGGGGTCGTATGTACCGGTCCTGGGCTCAGAATGTCGGGTCGGGCGAAAGGGGGGGGGTTACGAAATTTGCTGCATGCAGCTGGTTTCGGCCTCACCGAGGGGCCAATTCCTCGATACATGGCCGCTCCCGGCGCCGGGAGGCGCCGGGAAAATCAGCTACGTGAGCTGATTCTCAAACCCCCCCTTTGCTAATTATCCCCCCCTTTCGCCCGACCCGAGAATGGGACTGGCCAAAGTCGGTGTAGGTTGGCGTCCTCCAATCTTGGTCGTCTTGCTTGTCGCCGCCGCCATCGTCGTCGTGGTCGTGATCTTCGTGGTTGCCGTCGTCGATCTTGCTGCATCTGGCATGGTCGTTGTCGTGGTGGTTGTGGTCGTGTTCGTGGTCGTCGTCGTCGTCCTCTTCAGAGGAGGGATGACGAGGAGGAGGGACGAGGAGGAGAAGGAGGATGAGGGATGAGGAAAGAGGGGAGGGAGTGGGCACAGCCCCCGCATTTCTTCTACACCTTGCCTTTTCCTCCTTCTACACCCCCCCTCCCCTCCTCTGAACTCCACGCCTCCTCCCTCTTTCTTATCCCAGCTCATCCTCTCTGCTCTGCCATCATCCCGTCCTACGTCCCCTGCTCCCCCTCCACTCCTCTTCCTCCTCTCCTGCCCACGTCCTTTGCAGGTCATCCAGTGGCGCGCAGATCTACGCTGGGCCAGGCGGCCAGCAAATGGTGATGGAACCAGTGGCATCGGCCACAGTATCGTGCTCGAAGGGAGGAGGAGGAGGGAGGAGGAGGAGGAGGAAGAAGGTAGGGGGAGGAGGATTTTTTTGAGGGAGGAGGATTGTCTGAGGGAGGGGGAAGGTAGGGTACGGAGTACATGAGGAAGGAGGGAAGCAGGTAGGGGGAGGTGGATTTTTTGAGCACTATGGCCACGCTGCATGACTAAGACACGCTAGAAGTAAGTGTCAGAGAACAAATGGACTCCCTTCTCTTTGGGATTGAGGTCTTTTCCATACCTGATTCCAAACATCCTGGTTGTAGTTGTCTTTGTCAGTCTTGGGGTCTTTTTCCCGTTTACACTCGGGGGAGCGGAAGACCCGGGTTTGCCAGGACTCGGGTTCGCCATCGTTTTTTGACGACCGCGACTCGGATTTTGACGAGGAGGAGTTTTGTGGGATGTCTGCAGCGGGAGGCCTCGTCAAAATGCAGGCTCGGCCTCGTCATTTTTTTGACGACCTCGTCGGGGATTTCCGAGTCCCCCGTACCCGGGTCTTACGTCTCCCCGTTTACACATAACTCTCCGAGATTTGTCAGACGAGCACCAGTTGTGTAGCATTTGCATTCAAGACAAACGACCACCAGAGACTCGTTCGAGCAATCATTCATTACACATTCATGATTCAATCCCGAAGCCTCCGCACGCTAATCTGAACTAAGAGCATCGGCCTGGGTGCGGGCAAAAGTGACTGGGATTCCGCTTGGTGCGGAGACAAGTCGAGCATTGCCAAAAACGCTGCGAACCAACAGGAGGGCCCAACCGAGTCCGCGCGTGGGAATTGGAGGCCTCAGCTTGCTCTGACACTCGCGGGCGGGACCAAGGTACCTCTTTGAGATCGGTCTTGGGCCACATCGGGAGCATCTCAGCAGCAAGCCTGACAGTATACTACCTCAACAACACATCTGTATTCATGTCGGCCAGTGTCGCCGCGGCAGCGGACGGGTGCGTTGCCGCACCGAGCTTGGCAACATGATCGGCACAGTCGTTGCCGACCCGCATCGAACGCTCCTGAGGAGAAATATTGGGGTTCTCTAGCGCCTGATGCGCCTTGACCTTCTCAGAGCTCAGCATCTTGCTCCCGCCCAACGCCCGCCCCTGCATCACCATTCCTGCGTACCGTCGGTCAGGCGCAAGGCGGGCATCGACAGTCAACGGGTGCATGCCAACGACGTTGGCACAGTCGCTGCAAAGCCCGCTGGGCTGGGAAAGTAGGGCGCCTCACACAGCAAAAGCAGAACATCCTCCAGCCTGTGAGGTCTGTGGGCAGCTGTTCCATACTGGGCCATACGCCGTCGTTAGAAGGTTGCCGCCTGGGCCTCGACTGGCTGTGCCCACACCCGCACGGCACACGTCCCGGACCGAAGATTTCAGGTAGTATATACGGAAAGAGCGGCTTTCATGGCGTTGACGACGGCCCAAGAGGCCCCCAAGACCGCCCCAAGACGGCCCAGGAGGCCCCCCAAACGGCCCAAGAGGGCGCCAAGACGGTCCAAGAGGCGCCCAAGACGGCCCAAGAGGGCCCGAAGACGGCCCCAAGAGGGGGACCACGAACCGAAAAGTCTAGCCATGCGCCCCAAGACGCTCCCAGGAGGCCCCCACAGCCCCCCAAAGAAGCCCCAAGAGGCGCCCCAAGAGGCCACCAGGAGGCCAAAATCATTAATTTCCGATGGAAAATGTACATTTTAAGCATGCACGGCTTTTCGGCTTTCATGGCGTTGAAGACGGTCCAAGAGGCCCCCAAGACCGACCCAAGACGGTCCAAGAGTCTCCCAAGAGGTCCCCAAAACGGCCCAAGAGGGCGCCAAGACGGTCCAAGAGGCGCCCAAGACGGCCCAAGAGGGCCCGAAGACGGCCCCAAGAGGGGGACCACGAACCGAAAAGTCTAGCCATGCGCCCCAAGACGCTCCCAGGAGGCCCCCACAGCCCCCCAAAGAAGCCCCAAGAGGCGCCCCAAGAGGCCACCAGGAGGCCAAAATCATTAATTTCCGATGGAAAATGTACATTTTAAGCATGCACGGCTTTTCGGCTTTCATGGCGTTGAAGACGGTCCAAGAGGCCCCCAAGACCGACCCAAGACGGTCCAAGAGTCTCCCAAGAGGTCCCCAAAACGGCCCAAGAGGGCGCCAAGACGGTCCAAGAGGCGCCCAAGACGGCCCAAGAGGGCCCGAAGACGGCCCCAAGAGGGGGACCACGAACCGAAAAGTCTAGCCATGCGCCCCAAGACGCTCCCAGGAGGCCCCAAGAGCTCCCCAAGAAGCTCCAAGAGGCCCCTAAGAGGTTCCCAAGAGGCCCCCAAAAGGGCTCCAAAAGGGCCGCAATAGGACTCCCAAGAAGGCCCAGAGACCCCAAATAAAGAGCGATCGGTACTGCAAAAAGCTCTTCACACCAAGGCTCCCAAGAGCGAACGGTGACGTCAACAAGCTGATAAGACCAAGGTTCCCAGCAGAGAGCGGTGACGTAACAAGTTCCGGACACCAAGGCCCAGCCAAGGCTCAGGAACGGGCGGCAACGCAACAATCTCTGAACACCAAGGCTCCCAAGAGCGAGGGGTGACGTAACAAGCTCTCAACGCTGAGGATCCCAGTGCGAACGGTGCTGCGAGAAATTTCGGTTCCTGTTTCTGAAGCGCTCTTTCCGTTTCTGTGCCAGGCGCAGGTAACGGAAAGAGCGAGGTACGAGCGATGACGTTGTGTTGGGGCGAAGCCCTAGAAGGAGGGGTTCCAGGGGAGGGGCGAGGCCCGGGGACGTTGGCGTTAATGGCCGTTTTGGGGGGTTTCCCTTATGGTTTTTGCATGTTTTTCTGATTTCTCTTTTCTTCCGTCCCAGAAGAGCCCAAGACCGCCCAAGACAGGCCCAAGACGTCCCAAGAGGCCCCCAGGAGGCCCCAAGAGGCCCCCAAGGGGCGTCCCAAGAGGGCCCCAAGAGGCCAAAATCATTAATTTTCCAAAAGGAAAACGTACATGTTTAGCATATACGGCTTTTCGACTTTCACGGCGTTGACGACGGCCCAGGAGGCCCCGAAAACCGCCCCAAGACGGCCCAAGAGGCTCCCAAGAGGCCCCCAAAACGGCCCAAGAGGGCCCCCAGACGGCCCAAGAGGCGCCCAAGACGGCCCAAGAGGGCCCCAAGACGGCCCCAAGAGGGGGACCACGATCCGACAAGTCAAGCCTACCGCCCCAAGACGCTCCGGGGAGGCCCCCACAACCCCCCAAGAAGCTCCAAGAGGCCCCCAGGACGCGTTCCACGAGACCATGAGGAGGCCCAAATTATAAATTTTTCTGGTGGGAAAACGTATATTTTGAGCATACACGGCTTTTCGACTTTCACGGCGTTGACGACGGCCCAAGAGGCCCCCAAGACCGCCCCAAGACGGCCCAAGAGGCTCACAAGAGGCCCCCAGAACGGCCCAAGAGGGCGCCAAGACGGCCCAAGAGGTGCCCAAGACGGCCCAAGAGGGCCCCAAGACGGCCCCAAGAGGGGGACCACGAACGCGAAAGTCTAGCCTTTCGCCCCGAGACGCTCCCAGGAGGCCCCCACAGACCCCCAAGAAGCCCCAAGAGGCCCCCAGGAGGCCCCCAAGAGGCCCCCAGGAGGGCCCGAAAAGGGCCCCAATAGGACTCCCACGAAGGCCCAGAGACGCCAAGAGCGATCGGTAACGCAAAAAGCTCTTCACACCAAGGCTCCCAAGAGCGAACGGTGATAAGACCAAGGCTCCCAGCAGAGAGCGGTGACGTAACAAGTTCCTGACACCAAGGCCCAGCCAAGGCTCAGGAACGGGCGGCAACGCAACCATCTCTGAACACCAAGGCTCCCAAGAGCGAGGGGTGACGTAACCAGCTCTCAACGCCTAGGATCCCAGTACGAACGGTGCTGCGAGACATTTCGGTTCCTGTTTCTTAAGCGCTTTTTCCGTTTCTGTGCCGTGCCCAGGTCTAGTGGCCTTCGGCCCATCCCGCCACTGTGCTTGGGTTGTGGGTTAGAGGCCTCTTGGATGTTCGTTTGGATATCGTGGGAGACCTCTCGGGGGCCACTTGGAGGCAGTTTTGAAGCCTCTTGGGGGCCGTTTGAGGCCTCTTGGGGGCCTCGTGGGGCCTCGTGGGGCCTCTTGGGCTCTATTGGGAGCCTCTTGGGGCCACCTGGGGGCCTCTCGGGACGGAAGGCTCGAATTGTCGGTTCGTGTGCCCTTTCTTGGGGCCCCTCTTGGGGCTCTGTAGGGCAATCTTCGGCACCTCTTGTGCCGTTTTCGGGCCCGCTTGGGCCGTCTTGGGGCGGTCTTGGGGACCTCTGGGGCCATCTTGGAGCGTCGGAAGCCGGAAAACACGAGAACGCGAAACACATAGAAACACGCAATGACAAGCAATTATGTGAGCCTCTTTGGGCCCTCTTGGGGGACCTCTTGGAACGCTCTTGGGGCTTCTTTGGGACCTCTTGGGGCCATCTTGGGCGTCTTGGAGCGCTCTTGGGCTGTCTTGGAGGCCTCTTGGGCGCTTTCTGGGGCCCTCTTGGCCAGTCTTGGGGCCCTCTGGCCTCTGGAAAAGCCCTCTGGCCTCTGGAAAAGTCACGTGGGGCAGCCCAAGAACTTGCAGGAACGCCCAGAAAAATCTGAGGATTTTGGGGCCCAGCCTTTAGAATACTGCAATCCCAGAGTCCTGATTGCAGAGAACAGAGGACACATGAGGACCTGGAGAAAACTCCACTTCGCGCCTCGCGGCACGGTGGCGCAAGTATACACGCGCAGGCTCCCAATGTTGCGCTCCCTCTGGATGTGGGGTCGTGCGATATGCTGTGGGATGGCTCTATGCCATCGGCTTAGACACAAAATGACGGCGGGTTCGGTTACCTGGGAGAGGTGGGAGAGGATACAAGGGGAAGGAGAGAGGCTGGCCACAACTCGGCATCATCGACGGTCCTCCGACATGGGTTCGCCTCAAACGCATCACACATTGCCCGTTCCCCTCTCCGTAGG